AGTTGCTACCCTGCCTCCAATGCTCTGTATCATTTGCATCGCCCAGGTAAGGGCTCCATTAGGTGGGGCTGATGGTGAAAATGCTGCCGGTAACATTAATGGTGACCCCCTGGTTTCTGCTCATTCTGTGCAGGAACCTGTGCTGAATGCGATCCCTCCATAGTTCTTCCCATCCACAGTGAACATATCTCTGGGCCTAATTCTCCCTCCTGGCCCCAGTGACCCGTGTGGCCATGCACACCCAGTAGATGAACAGAGCCCAGAAGTCCCGGAATATTGCTCCATGGAGCCCGGGGCACCTTCCTCCCTGAGGCGTCAGCCTCGCTTTCACATGGGCAAGGGACACCCCTCTCCAGGGACGTCCACTTCCTCATTCCTAGTGGGGGGTTAAGAGCCTGGAAGTCTTACCACTCAGCTCCCCCCACATGCACCCACACACTCATTCCTTCCTAAGGCACCGGAATCCCCAGCTCCTCCACGAAGCCTAGTGTCCTTCACAAACATTCCCCATGCACACTCTTAACTCCTGTCTGACAGGAGAATCTTCCCTAATTCCTCGCCTTCCCACAGCCTGGGGTTCTATGAACTGACCTTTCACTTCATCCATCCCTGAGGCCTGAGAGGGGAGCCCCGAGGGGAAAGCAGAGGCTGGGTGAGCAGGGGCAGAAGGGTCCCCTTCCTGACCCCCCCCCCCAGAGACTACCTAGGCAGTTGCATGTGTCTGGGGTGCAGAGACTCACAGGGAAACATACTGACACCACAAGCACAGAAATACGAAGGTACTGGCCACCCCCAGCCACAGCTGGATACTCAGGTGCAGGACTTATGGGCAGGCTCACATAGACGCACACTGCAGACACAGCGATCACCTTGAGGGGAACACACACACACACACACACACACACACACAAACACACTCACATAGACGCACACTCACACTGGAAACAAACACTTGAGGGGAACACACACACACACACACACACACACACACAAACACACTGGACAAACACACACTGGAAACAAACATAGAAACGATCGGTGTCATACAGACAGTATCACAGGACACACACACACACACACACAGTGGACAAACACACACTGGAAACAAACAGAAAAGATCGGTGTCATACAGACAGTATCACAGGACACACACACACACAGACACACACACACACAAACACACTGGACAAACACACACTGGAAATAAACAGAAACGATCGGTGTCATACAGACAGTATCACAGGACACACACACACACACACACAAGCACACACACAATGGACACACGCACACACACACCAGTGCACACATACACGGACATAGAACACAGACACAAAGAGAACACAAGACACACATCAGGAACACCCAAAGGGACAGCCAATTCACACATACAACCAACAGGCAACATGCAAAACAAACACTCCCCCAAATGCTGAGTCATACTAACTCATGGTCTTGAAGGAAACATGAAGATTTCAGGTGCTGCCCTGGGCAGGCGGCTCAATCTCTTGCAGCTTCATTTCATTCGCCCACTTCAATCAAAGGGCATGTTCGGCTCCTGGTGAGGGCGCAGACCAGGTTGTGGGTTGAGCTGCAGCCCGGCATTTATGGAAGGCAACCGGTCCATGTTTCCTTTTTTTTCTCTTTGCCACTCCCTTCCTCTCTTTCTCAAAGCAATAAACATATCCTCAGATGAGGATTACAATTTTAAAAAAGAATTAAGGGGCCCTAGCTGGTTTGGCTCACTGGATAGAACATCAGCCTGTAGTCGGAAGGGTCCCAGGTTTGATTCTGTACAAGGGCACAACCCAGGTTGTCGGCGCCATTCCCAGTAGGGGATGTGCAAGAGGCAGTTGGTAGATGCTTCTCTCTCATCGTGTATGATTCTCCCTCTCTCTCCATCTTCCTTCCGCTCTCAAATCAATAAAAATACTTTTTTTAATAAAAAGAATTAAGGGGTTGAGCCCTAGCTAGTTTGGATCAGTGGATAGAGCGTCGGCCTGGGGACTGAAGGGTCCTGGGTTCAATTCCAAGAAAGGGCATACGCCTGGGTTGGAAGTTTGATCCCCAGAAGGGGGCGTGCATGAGGCAGGCAATCAATAATTCTCTCTCATCATTGATGTTTCTATCTCTCTATCCCTCTTCCTTCCTATCTAAAATCAATAAAAAATATTTTAAAAAATATTTATAGTTTCACATTGCAAAGATTTCAGTTGAATCATTGAGGATTGAGTGAAATAAATAAATATATCTTAGATGCTACACTAACCTATTGTTAACATAATTTCAATTTAAAAATTGGCAAAATATTCTGACCAGACATTTCAACAAAGGAGACAAAGACAGTGTAAAGAATTGCTTGAGAAAACATTCACCATAAAAGTTTATTAGGGAAAAAATTTTAAAAAATTTTATTAGGAAAATGGAATTAAAACAAAGCAAGTTAACACTATACTCATTTCTCGGCCTATTATTAAAAAGATTAAACATCACATGTGCTAGCAGGGTTGTGGAAAAACTAGAATTTTCATTACTGTGGGTGGGTGAGTGACAAGGCAAAGGGAATGATCATTTTGGAACACAGTTCTGCACATACTAACAGGTAAAACATTCGCCTACACTGCATCACTTTAATAAGTAAAACATACCTCTATAGAAAGAACTGAAGGCAATATTAACAGCAGATTTATTTTAAATATCCCAAAACTGGAAATAACTAAAACCATAGACAGAACAATAGGTAAACTGGCTATTCACAGAAAACAGTATGACTCAGCCATAAAAAATAATTAACTGTTCATATAAGCATTCACTTTGAATCTCAAAATACTGTGTAGCATGAAGGAAAGCAATAATTGTTTACACCTTATATAGTCCTTCTGAAATTAGGAAAAATATTAACTAATCTTAAAAAAATATTAACTAATCTTATAAAGGAAAGAAAATCAATGACTGCATTTAGGCCTGGAGAAGGCAGAAAGAGAGATTACAAAAGGGGAGGAGGTAACTACAGGGTGTGGAACAAGTAGATGTAGAGCTGTTGGCATGGAAATTACTCCAATAATTTAAAAATAATATAAAAGAAGAATAAACTCTTCCCTGGCCAGTGAACCTCAGGTGTTTGAGCACCATCTTTTTCCCTAAAAGATCACTGGTTCCATTGGAGCTCAAGGCACGTGCCTGCCTGGATGCCCTGTAGCTGACGTGCACGAGGCAGCTGTTTTATGTTTCTTTCTAATATCACTATTTCTCTCTCTCTCTCTCTCTCTCTCTCTCTCTCTCTCTTTGTGAAAAGTCAATAAAATTTTTTTAAATATGTAAAATACTTATTTAGAAATATAGAGAGTCAACGCTGTGTTTTGCGTATTCACATCTCTATGCCTGGTACTGCCCTAACCTGTATATGGGTGAGAGATAAGTTTGTCACATGTGACCATTTCAGAGCTTGATCCCTATGTCCCAGCTCACCAAATAGTACAAATATACCTGAATAAAACCTTAAAATGTGCTTCCAAGTAAAGGTCTAGTTATCCCTGTCTTGTTAAAAAACTAAAATGACAACCCAATATGGGCTCTACCATTTCTCTCCTAATTTCCTGGGAGCACCAGCATTGCCTCAGTGGCAGCAAATATTGGCAAGAAGTGAAGACTATGGCCATCGGAATCAACAGGAATGCTGACTGGGTCACAGATACCACATCCTGGGACTGACTACAGGATTACCTTTCCTCTAGCTTTGATGTCTTAACTGTTGAGCAAACCTTGAGGTGAAAACCTTAGAGAGGCCAGAAGAGGACAAAGACCCTTTAGATTATTTTCTCTAAAAATGACTTTAGCCACAGGAAACAGTGATGGAGGAACTGAGGATGCCTGTCCACAATGACCACACAGGTCACAGGTCCTTAGTCCTTTGTGGGTAATGTTCAGAAGAGGTGCGATTCACCTAATTCTCTGCACTCTTTCCCACTCACTATGAATACAGGGTTTCTGACCCAGTTGTAGTTCAACCTAACCCTCAGAGTCTCAACACAAGCGACACCAGCCTTTGAAATGTCATTCAGAACGGCACAGGGCACGTTGACAGTATGTAATACACACTGTGAACAGAGAATATAATTCACATTGTTCACAGAAGCACAACAAAGCCCTCTCACCCCCATCTTCAGGATGACCTCAGACCTCAATCACAGGAGGCACCAGGCTGCAAATGAGAACCACCAAGTCATGCCGGCTTTCTTTCGGGGTCTTGGGCAGCATTACACTACAAGTGAATATTGGAAAAAGTGATTTTCTGACTCCACGCTTTGCCTTCAGAAGCAAAGCTGGTTGGGGATTCCCACAATATCTGTTCCCCTGGACATGGGGACAAATCCCAAGTGTCCTTTCAAATAAATCCAGGCAATGAATAGGATCAACAAAATGAAAGGTACTAGTACATGAGCAAAAGCACCTGGACAAAAAGATTATAAACCTGAGACGTGTTAGAAAATTCCATGGGTTTGCAGGTTGGTGAATTGGAACCTGAAACAATTCATCACAACATAAGGTGATGTCCTGAGAGAGGTAGCTCTACTTAGGTGAGGATGGGTGCGCTGGATGAACCCTCAATCAAATCCATTTTCTAGTCAGAAAGGAATGAAGATCCCACCAGGAGCTTGGAGTAATCACAGTTTGCTCAGGCAGAGGTGAGAACACAGAATTCCTTTTCCTTGACCACGCAGGGGCTGTGACTGAGGCACCCTGTTCAGGTGAGCCAGGTGGTGGAGGTGAAATCGCCTCAGCCAGGAATACTCCCAGTGATTTCAATCGGGTAGTAGGCCCGAGCAGCTTAGCAAGTGCCATGCAGTTATTCAAAGCATCACTTGTACTTGAAATTTTATGAGGAATCTAGCCGAGTGCATGTTGTGATAAAAGGGGATTATAGTCCATTAAATGTGTATCGAAGAGAACCCTTTAGTGTTGTTATTGTCAATGAGAAAAATTAAGTATTGGGAGCACATTTAAAGCTTTTCTCCATTGTGAACAATCAGGTGTCTAATCAGGTGAGATTTTCTGCTAAAAGATTTCCCACATTCACTACACTCATGAGGCCTGTCTCCTGTGTGAACTCTCTTGTGCATAAAAAGGTGATTATGGCATCTAAAATATTTCCCACATTCATTACACTCATGAGGCCTTTCTCCTGTGTGAATTATCTTGTGCTTAAGAAGGTGACCACGGCATCTAAATGATTTCCCACATTCACTGCATTCATAAGGTTTTTCGCCAGTGTGAATTCTCTGGTGTTCGGAGAGGTTACTCCTTCCTCTAAATGACTTCCCACATTCACCGCACTCATAAGGTTTTTCGCCAGTGTGAACTCTCTGGTGCTTAGTAAGGGTACAACTATTTGTGAAGGACTGCCCACATTCACTACACTCATAAGGTTTTTCTCCAGTGTGAATTCTCTTGTGGGTAAAAAGGTTACTATGACTTCTAAAAGATTTCCCACACTCACTGCATTCATAAGGTTTATCTCCAGTGTGAATTCTCTGGTGATTAGTAAGGGTACCTCTTTGTCTGAAGGACTGACCACATTCACTACACTCATAAGGTTTTACTCCAGTGTGAACTCTCTTGTGATTAGTAAGGGTAGTTCTTTGTCTGAAGGACTGCCCACATTCACTACACTCATAAGGTTTTTCTCCACTGTGTACACTCTGGTGGTCAGTGAGGTTATACCTCTGTCTAAAGGACTTCCCACATTCACTGCACTTATAAGGTTTTTCTCCAGTGTGAACTCTCTGGTGCTTAGTAAGGCTAAACCTTTGTCTGAAGGACAGCCCACATTCACTACATTCATAAGTTTTTTCCCCAGTGTGAACTCTCTGGTGCTGATTAAGAAGAGAGATATACCTGAATGACTTACCACAGTCACTACACACATATGGCTTTTCTCCAGTGTGAAGTCTGTGGTGTTGATTGAGGTTAGTCTTATATCTGAAGGACTTCCCACAGTCACTACACTCATATGGCTTTTCTCCAGTGTTAACTTTCCTATGTTGAATGAGGCTAGGGATTCCTCTAAAAATCTTTCCGGATTTCTTCCATGCATAATTTGCTTCTCCCTTGCAGACGTTCTGTTGAACAACTTTCTGGTTGTGGCTGGTGGCATTTTCACATTGACCCCACTGGTTATGATGTTTTCCACTGCGATGTTTCAGGGAAATCTCACTGCCACTGTGTGGCTCCTCAGTGTTGAGAGGGGCCTGGGGCTGGAGAAGCTCTGAGATGGCTGGCAAGTCTTCCCCAACCTCCCTACTGGATGAAGGGAGCCCTGATAAGTAGAAGCTGCACCTGGTCACAAACGAGGTCCTGTTCACAGCTTCTTTCCAGGGCTTCTCTCCACTGGCTTCCCTTTGTTGCTGGCGAGGGTTTGCACTGAAACAGAAGTCTCTCACACGTGGGTAATTGAAGAAGGCTTTCTGCTCAATGTATGCTGCCTGTGACTCAGTCAGGTGCAGAATGTCTTTGAACACAGAGAAACACCTCTTACACAGATGGGTCTTCTGGGTTGCTGGCTCTGTCTTAGACACCGTGACCTGTGACTGTCCTTGTACAGATATGCTCTGCTCAGAACAGGCCTCCTCATCATCCGTTATATGCCAACAACCTGAAAACAGAGGAAATGAGGAGGAAATGGATGTTGACTACAGTGATGAGGGAAGTTCCATTACAAAAATATATTGCACATCATACATGCATTCCACGGAATTGTCTGAAAATAAGAGATGTGCTGACAGGATTTGGAAAAGGCTCCTGTAAAGTTCTGGAACTCTGAACATCACAAAACAAGGAAAGCCTAACCAGATATATGACATACAGATGGCAAGCGCAGAATGGAATCAAAGCAGGATCGTCAACTCCTTCTTCTGCTAACAGTGTTCAGCAGGGCTTATCTGCTCATGACATGGGAAAGCTGTGCAGAAGGTTGCTTATGTTTTATTGCAAGTAAAATTCAGTAGCAGGGGTTTGAGGACTACTTAACCATGTATGTGCACCCCATAACACATGTGCAGGTCCATGTAGGAGAATACAGCACAGGGAGCAGTGCCGAGGGACAGGTGGTGCAAAAAGGTAAAAACGTGAAGTTAACCAAAAGCCATGATGTAACAGATGAAATGATCAGTCATCAAAATGTCAATAATAGTAAAGAAAATGTAGATAGAAGGTGTAGACAAACGCACCTGCACCTAAATATGGTTGGACACAAGTGGGTTCCTGGTATTATCTGAGAAACGTCCTCATGAGACACCTTCCCCCAGTTTAACTCAATAAAATCAGGGCTCATCATAGACTATCTTCCCACTTCACCCTGAGAGAGAACACTGGGTTCTCCATGCACCTTCTACTCTATAAAAACATACAACCTAAATATTCAGAGTATTAATTAAAGACTAGGGAGGTCAGCAGCCAGCACGAAGCCAGAGCAATTCAGATTGCAATAGTATTCAGTGAAGAAAATATTACAAACAAAAATTGAGAGAGGATGGTACAAGTGCAGCTACGGTTCATTTAAGTAAAGACCATAACCTGGCACAGGCTGTCACAGAGCCTTACCTAGATGAATGGTGTAGAAGTGGAAACCATGAGGACAGAATCACCTTCCCAGGAAGACAAAGTTCAAAGTGGGTTCTATTAAGCTCATTGCAAGAATCCTGACTGCCAGACACTTCTTGCATTTTCTGAGGCAGTGGGTGTAAGGGATGCTTGGGGAGTCCAGAGCTCAGGACTCCCCACACAGCTCACCCCTGGCAGCCACAGCCCATTTGAAAGGACAGAGGAGGAAATTATTAGAGCCCATGGTATGGCGGTGAGAGCTACCTTTGAAGAATAAAGGAAGAGTAGACATCACCTCAGGACATTGGGAGAAACGTGAAGATCTTACCTGCAGATGAGACAAGTGCAAACACGTCCAGCATCACATTGCAGTACAGAAGTCTCTGAGCCTCATCAAGGAGCCCCCACTCCTCCTCAGAAAAGTCAATGGCCACGTCCTCAAAGTTCATATTCTGTCAAAATGGGGACAGATCAATCCACGATTAGCTTTTCTCCTAGGATTTCAAGTTCTTCATAATTCCCACCCTCCATATCCGTATGCTCCCTCTACCCTTCATCAGACAAGACACCAGGCCTTGGGCCCGTCAAAGTCACTTTCTCCTTTTATTCCTACTGATACTGTGTCTTCCCACAATGATAAAGGCAGTTTAGCAGAGAGCAGGTACCTGAGTTCTGGGCCTCACTTGTAGGCCACACTGCCTCGTGTCAATACAGAGGGTGTCACCCACATAGGGAAGAGAGAGATGTTGGCCATAAAGAAAATGTGAATGATTTATCACTTATTTTGTCAGGAAATACTCTTGTTATCGCCTAAATCTCCCTCAGAGACATGAAAAAACATGGCCTCCTGACTCACCCTTCTGACTCTGGTACCATGGTGTTGAGGCCATCACCTTGCACTACCTGCTCAACATAATTCTTTGAACCACACTTCTCTCACACAGCTTCATTTCCAGGGGCACATCCTCAAAGGCAACACAAATTTGCCGTGGCGTGAACACTTTATTTCCTACACACCTTCTCTTCCAAATGTCTAATTCACAGCCTCTGTAATGTGTTTCTCTCTCTTTCTATCTCCCTTCCCGATTCCAGTACAAACATGCAAGCCCAGGTGACACCAATATATGCTATCTCGTTCCCATTGATCAATGTGTCAGCCCTTGAAAACCATAGGAAGTTGTACCTCTATGTGACACGTCAGCTCTGAACCTGGCAGGTCTCACAACACCCCTATTTTCAGACAATTACACTAAAATTCCTCATATCATATCATATATCATATATCATATATCATACCATATTAGACAGCAAGCACCAAAAATGGACTCACTCCTTATTCACCCTTATTGCAACATCCAGTGTCCTGTGGCCATGAATTCACACTCCCTCTCCAAGGGCACATCACTCCTTCTCCCACACCTCTCTCTCACCTGCACTCCCACACCCACAGCCCCCACAGTAATCTCCTTGACTTCCTACTCATACTCAGCATGTGTGTTGTAGTGACTGCTTGGCAAATTCAAACAGGAATAAGTTCTACACCAACTCTGAGAGTCCACACTCATGGAGGCAGCCCTGAGCCCTGCTATAAAGGCTTCACTCCCTGACTGTTTTCGTTCAACCTCACCTATTGAGAACCACATCACGTCTTAGATATCCAGAGCCCACCTCCACCAGTGCTGCACATGATCTCCCATCCCCAGTCACAGCCCTCACCACTCAAGTCTCATGGCCGATGGCCCTCTACCCCAGTTGTATCAAAAATCAGCGAGCTGGACAAGATGCCTTAATGAGCCTGTGAGGAATCATCTCTATTGGGTGCTGGTTCAGAGCATATTACCTCTGTCAAATTATGA